TCCAGCACGGAGGTGATAGCAGGGTTCTGGAGCCCGGCGCAGCTATTTGTAGCCAGCCCAGGCTCTGGGCAGCTGCAGCAAGCAGCAGGCAGGCTGCAAACAGCTGTGCTGGGCTGTACAGCTCTGGCATCAGGTCCGTGCTGGCGGCAACTGCATGGGCACCTCGGGGCAGGCTGCGCTGCCCCACTGTCAGTAGGCCTGGCGGGCAGGGGCTTTGGGTGGGGGGCACAGGGTGGCAGGGGTGGGGGTTAGGGGCTTTGGGTGAAGGGCAAGGGGCACAAGCAGGCTATCCTGCCATGTACCCCTTGCCCTCATTTTGTTTTTCTGCCATGCCGGCACTCCGGCACCTTCTGAGAGAGTGTTTTTCGGCACTCTGGCCAAGAAACATTGCCTACCCCTGCTATAGGCTATTCTGGTCTTAGTGCACTCAACCATGGGCCACTGTGAATATGGGCTACTGTGCCAAAAGGAAAGCAACTCTGGAGGCCAGAAGGTGAGCAAGGAAGTAAAGGGAACCCGGACTCCACCCCCAGCAGACATTACATTTATGTCATGATTGTGTCAGTCATGCCATAAATTACAGCGTGGCACATGTTCAGCCAATTTATTGCACAGCATAATGACAAAGCAGCAACAAAGATGTTCTACATACTGGGCACATCTACACAAGACATTTAACTGTGCAGTAGTGTAGTTTACTGCACAGTAAGCATGCACGTCTACACATGCACATGCATTACTATGCAGTAAAACTCGTTAATCACAAGTAAATTTGCTATCTGCAAATGCAAGTAGCAAATCTACTTTCGGTTAGTAACAGCACAGCAGTCCTTGTGTAGACACCTGACCGGGAGCAAATCTGCTCCCAGTCAGCTGTCCACCAGGGGGCAGGAGATTGCTCTCTGCCCCTGGGAGCTGCCTGCTGCTGGGGTGGACTCTGCCACAGAAACCTGAGTGGGGGCTGCGACCCCCTGCCCTGGTAGCAGAGAACTCCAAGCCCCCTGCTCTGAGATCACGATCAGGGAGCAAGGGCTTGGAGAGCCTTATCTCTTAGTACCAACTCTGTGACCATGGGGCTGGGGCTGGGAGACCCTTCTCTCAGTGCCAACTTGGCAGTCACGGGGTCAGTGCTGGGAGATCCCTGCATGCAGGGTGGAGGCTGGAAACTGTCTCAGTCAGGGGTAGGTCCCAGCCCCGTGCCCTGATCAGGTGATTGAGGTACAGGGCTTGGAAAGAGCTTCAGGGATGGGGTAGGTCCCAACACCCTGACCTGATCAGCTGGTGGGGCAGCTAGCAGTCATCTAGCTGCCCCACCAGTGCATTGAGACAGGGGGCTGGGACCTGCCCTCCCATGCAGCGCCTTCCAAATCCCCTGCTCCTGATCGGGGAGCCAGGGCCAGGAGCTCCCTCCTGCCAAGGAAGCGGGGCATTGACCCTGCCCCAGCAGCAAGCAGCCCCCAGGGGCAGGGTGTAGTGTCCTAGCCCCAGCCCCAGCTGAGAGACAGCTGTCTCCTGGCCGGATGCTCCCTGCCAGCCCCTGGGCTCGCACATGCTTCCCTGCATTTGCAGATGCCTACCTGGGAGTGTTTACTCACAGGTAGTTTACTGAGGAGTAAACCGATCCCGAATCAAATGCTTGTGTAGACATGCCCATTGTTTCCCACTTATCCCACTGTTGTCAACTGTTACCAACAGCGGCTGTATCTGCTGTGAAATCAGAAGTACATTTAGCTATCACACTAAAATCTTATCAGAGATAAAGTTCTGTAATTTCCTCATGATATAGGTAGGTGATGGGTAGGAGATAAGACTGACTACGACTTTATATTAAGATGGTTCACTCAGGTTAAGTATTGTTGTTGAAACACACCCAGTGAAGATCTAACCTGTGCTTTAATCTGGCTCGAAACACTCCAGGACTCTGTGGGTGCGTCCAGACCACAGCGTACAGTGTGTGGCACTGCAAACACATTTGCAGCACCGCATACCGCAAGGCCCAGTGTTTTCCATGCGGCAAGGGTGCGCTGCCCAAGCATGTGTTGCACCGGGTTTTTTTCCATGGGTTTTTTGACTCCTGGATTATCTCCGAGGAACCAAATGTCTATGCATGTCTGAACACACCCTGTCAGTCACTATCCATAGTCCAAAGCTAGTGTTAATGAGGGCCTCACCTCACTGTTAGTCATCATCACCTTTCTGTGTTATTGAACACCATTTGCAGCCACTTTCTTTGAGAGTAGTGATTGTCAGCTGTGGGAGCACTTTATCTTTAATCCTTCAGTGAAGAGTGATTTCTGTAAAGCTATTAATTTCATATCTTTAACCACTCTTGTTTCATGTACTCAGCAAAATCTGACCTTGTGAGCTGCAGTGAAGTGCATGAAGTAGATTCTTCAGGCAACCTCTTTTATAGCCTCTCTTTTGTATGAGTGTCCTGATTCACAACTGAGACAGCAAAAAGAGAGAGAGAACATGGATAGAAAAAAAAGAGTAGGGATAAAATAGCTGCATTTTTCATTGTCTAACTACAGTTGTTATCGTGCTAGGGGCACAGCACAGACAACTTTGTTGTTCTTTGTGGGGTTTTTAAATTGGTCTGGAAAGGTAGACAGATATATTGTGTCTTAATAGAGCAGGAAAAGAGCTGAATTTTCCATTTTGCAAAAAATTCTGCTGTTTGGAATTTTGCTTTTGTTCTAAATTGAAAAAGAATACAATTTTCACCCTCTCAGCTAAGTGAATTCTGAAAAAAATAATTTAGGGTCAAATAAGAAATTTCATTAACAAAACATTTTTTTTCCAAATTTGGCCTTTAAAGCTTACTAGATTATTTTGGTAAACAAAGAACAACAACAAACCCTGAAAAAAGATGAGAAATTTAAATGAACAAATGAAAATGTCAAAATGCATCAGTAGACAAGGTTCTTTGGGTAAATCTGATATCTTTTATTAGACCAACTCAAACAGTTGGAAAAATTCTTCTTTGCAAGCTTTCAGGTATAAATACCCTTCATCAGGCTGAGGAAGCATCTGCAGAGCACAAACCAACTGCAGATGCTTCCTCAGCCTGATGAAGGATATTTATACCTGAAAGCTTGCAAAGAAGAATTTTTCCAACTATTTGGGTTGGTCTAATAAAAGAAATCAGATTTACCTAAATAACCTTGTTTGCCTATGTCTTTAGACCAACACGGCTACAACCTATACCCCCATAAAATGCTTCAGTTCTTGGTGGGTTTTTTTTAAAGAAATTTAATCAAAAGTAAAGTTTTTATAAACAGTTTTTAAAATAAATTAATATTTTTTGTTAAAGTAATACTGCTGCTACTGTTGTATTTCATTCAATAGTGGTGAATTTAGAAAAGTAGATGAAATTAGGAAACAGTTGTAAAGAATACAGAAAATATCTGTTATTTTAAAGAGGTTTGTTTCACCATTGAAATGAAGATCAGCTGTTTTCTCTGGTGGTACAGGTTACTTTGATCTTTGCATGTCTGTGGATTACTATGGTTTAGGAATGAGTGTAGCTCTCAGGCCTTTGATGCATATTATTTTAATATTTCTAGAAAGTTGGTTGTACCAGAAAAACTAGTGCTATGGGTGGGCACATATACATAGCCCCCTGGTTGGAGCACAGCAAAGTTGCCAGGACAGGGAAGCCTGGAAGCTGGTCCCTGCAGCTGGATGGGCTGTCATGGAGCCATCTGCTCTCCCTTCCCCACCTTGCAGGGGGGGAGAGAGAGCCAAGCATGGTGGGATAGTGGAGGTCTCTCAGATGTGACTGAGCACTTAATTTTGCCTGGAAAGACAAAGAAGTTTCTGTTTGAAACAGCAACTTCTTTGTCATGGATCTACCATTTTTATGGCAGATTGGCCCTTTTTTTCTTTCAGCACAACAAACACCTTGTGGCCCATTTCTTTTTGTTGCTCTAAAACAGTTGATTTGGTGGGACAAATGTAACATCTGCTTAAAACACTGATTCCCATGTAGGGTGTCACAGCTCTTGCAGTGCTTTGAGTACAGAATGATTCACAAGGTAAACCCAGAGGTGTCAAGTAGAAATTCATATTGTGAGAAAAACATTCTGACCTGCTATGGTTTTTCCAAGTTCTTTGTAACAGAAAAAAAAATGTTCTGTTATTTTTCTGTACTCAAAAAGCGGGCAAAAACTAAGAGTTGGCATTTTCTGAGGAAGACTTTGAGTTTTATGATGTGTGCCCTGAGACTAAAAAGGTTGAAAACCACTAGTCTAAATCACAATCATAGAACCAAAAGGGACCTGTAAGATTGTCAAGTCTGGTCCCTGCCGTGGCTCCGCTCAGCTGCTCTCATCCTATCTAGTGATCACCTGCCATGGGCCCCGCTCTATCTCCCGGCTCCATACTGGGGGTCAGGCTCGGGGTCCACTGGAGGGTCTGCCAGGGTCCTTGGCTCACAAGGGCACAATGGGCTTCCACCCATGCATCTCACTCTGGAGCCGGGCTCAACTGCTCCGGAGTCGGGTCCAACTCAGTTACAAGTGTAAATCTGGTAACTTCATTGGAATTTTGTTTGCTTGATTGTGTATCTAGAAGCCTACTGAAGTTTTTCAAACAGTAATCTATGTGAAACTTTGCACATTGCATTCAAGCCTCTACTAATTGCTTCAACTTTTTAATATTTGAATTATAACTTGATACTTCCATAATTCAAAAGAGTTATGAATAGATATGTCCAGTTATACAAAAGATGTTAGTCTCAGGTGTCTTGCTGTTGGACACTGTAAGTAAATTTGAGATTTGGACCTTTATTTATGGCTATGGTTGTATTTGCTTCCCAGGTAATATCTCTTTGGCTGCATTATTTTGAATTGCTTTCTGAAAACCTAACCCAGTATATGTATGACCCTATATATAATATTCACTTTAAACCATTTCTGGCTTTATACACAATATAGTTAGCCTAATCATTATGTGACTAGTTAAAAAATCTTATTCCATAATATTTTTTTTTCTTTCAGAAAATATACTTTGATGCTTAATAATATATTTGCAGTCATAGCTGCACTGTTGATGGGATTCTCTTCTCTAGCGGGATCATTTGAAATGCTTATATTGGGCCGTATTATAATGGGAATTGATGCAGGTAAGCTTTATACTTTGCAGTTCATACATGTGTAGTTCATGCTGTGAATAATCTGCTGTTTTATGTATTAAGGAATAATTTGCATGAATGGTCACCCTGATTTCAGTGGGACTAATCAGAATGAATTAGGATGGCAAAATCTGATAATTATTGAAGAAAACTAAATGGAAATTAATTATGAGAGCATCTCTTTTTTACCCTTTGGTACAGGTTGTCCGTCTTCACAAAATACTTCTCTAGGAGTATGTGGTCTGTTACACCTGCTTACTATTTTGCCATCAGGAGCTGTTGAATACCATATTGATACCAATGGGATTATACTGAAGGCTTAGTAAATTGCTATTCATTTGTAACAAATGGTTTCCAAGCTTTAAAATGCCTTATGGAACCATTGCTTCCATCAGAATAATTTAAAATGCCCAATAGATTCTCACAGTCTTTTTGTGCATCTAAAATACCTAACAAAAGGTGACGAAAGACCCTTTTATGCAATGAAAAATATTTTTACCTTCTCAATGGATTTCTGATTGTGGAATATTTTAGAATATATGTGCTTTGACTTTTAAATAACTAAACCCATCTTTTTCAAAGCATTGACTGTCTTATATTTAAGAGCTAATTAGAATAGTTTGAGGACCTGTGTGTCATTCGCATATAATTATTTACAGACTGCAAATTTCTGATCATGCTGGCTGGTGATTTTAACACTAACCTGCCAAGCTCATTACACTAATTTCAGTCAGAAATTTTTATTTCCTCACTTTTTTTAAATACAGTTCTTCCCCTTGCTAGCCCTCCTCCCTCTTGGCAGTACATCTTCCTCTTGAATTCAAGCATACTGTTAAAATTTTTCCAGAATTGTAAGCAGGTATTGATAAGAACATACATCTGTGAGCTGATACAACAGCGATATTCTATAGTGTACAAATGGTGCATTTAATGGCATCTAGCTGCCATATTAATGCTGTTTTGCTAATCAAGTTGGCAGTGCATTTATTTTTTATCTGGGTCCATGTTGTTGTGAAATAACAAGGGACTTTCAGTGTCTGGTATACTTTCCTCCTTCCCTCTCGTGCCAGGCTGGTAGTGGGTATTTTCTGGTGGTGAACAGTACAGATTCTAATGGCTGGATTTCAGTACCAGAAGCTCTAATAATTTTCACTGCAGCAATATCATTAGCAGCAGAATAGCAATAAAATAGCAAGAATGGTTATGACAAAGGGTTCTGTGCGGTTCCACAAGGAAATCTAGGACTTAAGGTTTGCTTTCATTGTTTCTAAACTGCTTGCATGACTCCTCTCAGATTGTATGTATTGCAAAAGCAAGTGTGTGAAGGAGTGTAAAATCAGTGCTGTAACAGCATCCTCTTCCTTACTGTCATTTGGTAAGGAGCAGAAGATTACCTGACACCTGAAGGCAAGGCAGGATGGACCTTAAAGGCAAATATGTTCAGAGAGGCATACACTTTCATACAAAGTAATTTGTTACCAGTGAATTTTATGCTTCTCCAAACGAGTTTTTCTAAGATACCACACTGCCCTGCCTTGTACCTGACTGTAGACTAACATGGCTAACTACCTCTCTGACACCTAGGCTGCTTGCAGACATGGGGGAAAAAACCCCACATTGCTTTAATTTAAACTTGGTGTGCTTCTGCACCGAGCTCAGCACATGCGCAGAAGAGGCATCATGTCAGCTGCCCCCGGCTTTCTCAACATCTGTATAGATCAAATCTTTAGTGGCACTTTTTTGGCACCTTTATCTAATAGCTGATTGAATCAGCTTTAAATAAAAGCTCCCAAAAGCCCCACTGAAGCACCTGATCTATACAGATGCTGCAGAGCCTGGTTGAAATAACATGTTGCTGCTTCCAGTAAAATGCCGTTTTTGTTTTTTGTTTTTTTAGCACCCGCCCCCCCCAATCAGTCAGTGCCCCTAGAATGTAATTGGGGGCAAAAAACTCAGGTCAGATGGCATCCCAGCATTGGATTCCTATGCCTGTAGCCTTTCTGGAAGAAGACTCTGTAATTTTTTTTTCCTAATTCAGTCCTCAGCATATACAAGTGCCCCATCAATAGATGACTTTCTCTCCTTGTATTAATTTCTTCTAAAGGGCAGCCAAGTGGACTGTTTCCTCAACCTGTATTTTTGGAATAGTTAAAATTAAAAAAAAAAAGAAAAAGGAAGAGACTTAAGCTTTCAGAGGCTAAGGAGCCCTTGCTACTCCTCCCCATCCTACTGCAGTGGAGTGCTTACATTTCTGCATCCTGTCAGATGGACCCTAACTACCAGGTCCTTTGGGTCCTGTACACGTGAAGAAATTGCCCCTTTTAGTGGCTTAATTGCCCTTTTAATTATTTAATTGCATAACAGTGTACATGCTTAGTGGCATGTTATGATTAAATTTTGTAACAGTTTACATGTTTGGCAGCGTATTTCAGTGTAAATGACTTTTTACGTAGCAAACTAAAATACTGATAAATAACCACAGAATGAGTAAAACTGCCCCTCCATGGATTGGATTCTCCTGTTTTGTCATTGAGTTTTATATCTCTTTTATCACCTTGGTTTCAAGAACATTTTGCAAGTTTGCTTGTTTCTTTCTTTTCCCTGAATACTTTCTGGTTCACTTATTGATTTTTTTTTTTTTTTAATT